GGGAGCGAGGTCAATTAGTTGAGTTCATATCTTCCCGTGAGGAGTGAAATGATGTGAAGTTTATATGAAATAATTCATATATGAACTGCGGTTCATATATGATGATCATATCATCATATGCGATGATCATTCTTCACTTTCATCTACAACCGCAGTTCATATAATAATATATAGAATCTGCTAAAGACCGAGCTAAATTACGTGCTGCCTTTAGGAAAGCTAAACAACTGAACATTGCTAAAGTACTACTCAGAGGTAAAAGCCTAATTATAAATAGTAGTAAATATTCTGTAGACACATTACCAGAATACTCGCTGCCAAGCGAGCAATCAACTACTCCTGAATAAAAACCTTTGATTGACTTTATTTCCATTTTATTTTGTAAAGCCGATGATCGGCTTTTATCGTTTAAGGTGCCACCAAACCTCTCAACTGATAGGCAATTTATAAGTCTTAACTTTGCTTTGGTGCCGCTAAAATTGCGATATAAATGGTAATTAGAATTGCGATAAAATTCTTGCATACCAAAATTTAACGGAATGAAACACCAAAACATTTAATTCGCCAAAGTTTTTTCATTAGCACCTAACATTTTTGTTTTGTTTTTATAACAATAGCTGAATAAGTCCAAAGTCCCAAGGGTCCAAACCAAGGTTCAAATCTTGAGACCCTTTTACCATCTAATTAGTTTNCGAGGAGCTAGTCGCAAGAATAAGGTTTGTTCTTTTGAACTATTTCAGTTAACACTTGCCTCTGATTATAGAAACCAGTGCTTGATGAGGGCTCTTGACAAAACAGCGCTTGAAGTTCTGGGTAGTGCAGGGACAGTTCATTTCTGAACTTGCATAATTTGCTGTGAAAATCGCGAGTTCCAACAGTTCCGTGTAGTACAAAGTCGACGGGTGGCACAATTTTGGCAATCCTTGGTAAAACTAGATCCACAAGTTCTTCATCGTTCAGACAGTTCAGCAGCTCGCTGACCCTTTGCTTCCTTGAATAAGGATTACTCTCGTCCAGAAATTTTTCTGCGCATTGTCTAAATGAAACCCGTTTCCGGGAGGCTGGCAAGCTACCCGGTTTGTGCTCCGGATAAAGACGAATGTGTTCGTTTAAACTCTTTTTGTTTTTGTAAAATTTACCAGTTTTGAAATGGGCAATGAAGACGGATTACTGACTCGGTGTTAAGCACATTTTCCTTAGCTCGACAAGACATCCAGACAAACAATAAAAAGCCATAATAAAAACAATTAGCCGGCAAAAGAAGCAATACTTAAGTACTTGCCGCGCCAAAATGCCCACAAGACTTGTGCCACCCGCGACAATGGAACTGACTTCGAGAGAGCAACGAAGGCTCCATCGAAACTACTTTAAAATCAGCACATAAAAAATAAACTTAAGACAAACACACCATTTCCAAAAACCAATAACAGCTTTAGTACGAGTAACATTTACTGTTGATAAAGCCAATGTCCAGTACATAACAAAGAAATAAAAAAGCCATATTCATACAACGCAGGAGAACACCGAGCTTACCTTTGGATGGTCTGTAATGCTTCTCGCCAAAAGTTGTCAAAGCATTCAACAACGCAGAGTTTCTCTTCTTGGCAATAACTGCATTGTACAAGCTGCCCAGTGACAAGTCTTCTCACTCATTGATGGCGAAGTATTTTTAAAACATCGAGCTCACATAACGCCGACCAGCCGCCATGATTCGAAAACAGATTGAATTGGTGCGCGTATTGGTTTATGGGATACGGCATTAAAATTTCTTTCCCCAGGCCCCCGCAATGACGTCACAGATCACCTGGATNTTTTTTTTTTTTTTTTTTTTTTTTTTTTTTTTTTTTTTTTTTTTTTTTTTTTTTTTTTTTTTTTTTTTTAAAGAAATACGACTTATATAGGAAATACGACAAATTATAACTTAATTTCTCTTGGTAGGCTCTGAAGAAAGCACGAAAAGGTTTTTCTGCTCCGGTCTGGGGATTTATGCCCAGCTTTTGAGCAAAAAAGTGGCACACGAGGCGAACGCTGAATGTGTCACTGTTGTTCTTATATCACATTTTGATGTCTTCTGTGATCTATCACTGAACAGACGAACGGCAACATGGAATCTATTTGTTTTGTGATTTATAGATTTAGCCAAGCCTAAAAGCGAAGCCTTTGTTTGCAACAATTAAACAAAAAGGTTAAAGGGGATTTGTTTTTCTTGGATCAGAAACTTAAAAAAAAATTATCAATTTTGAGCAGCTAAAAAAAGAATTCGGTTTGTTAGGGTGTTGCTGTGAATTCATTGGTTGGTTACCTTTGCTGTGTTTGTTTTGATTGGTCAGCCGATTTGCTTGGATAAAAATAATTAAAAATAGTTCAAAATTTTCTAATCCTCATTACTTTTACTTTTCTTTACTTTAAGTTGCTTTTGTTCAACCAGAGGCAAAAACAGAAATTGTGTATTATTAAACCCACGGATAATAACTATTATGCTCTTTTTTATAGAAACACGACTGAATGACCCACAGTACTATCCATTCTGGCCATATGGCCGACGAGGTGGGTTCCTACTTCTTGCACATGTAAATTTATGCGAATCTATTAGTATAGCAAGACATCTTTTTTACCTTGATTTTAAGGCGACGTATATACTGTAATATACAAGTTATTTTCTTTTAAATGACTTTGAATAGATCAAGAAAACATTTATCTGCTGTGGTCTTGCGATTTATACCAAAACTTCAACTTGTCAATGGGAATAATTTAAACCTCTTAAGTTTTGACAACCAATTCGTTACATGATTTCGGGGCTGCTTAGAATTCATTCTTTAGTTCTCTTATCTGCATTTGTTTTGATTAGTCAGCCGATTTATTTCTGATCCTCATTACCTTTACTTTTTTCTTTTTTCTTTTTGCTTTTAGTTGCTTTTGTTCATCGACCAAGGCGTACACAAAAATTGTGTATATACCTCTTTTGTTAAATGTATGATAAATTATTTTGCCCGATCTGACAAGCGTAGCATATAATTAAACCCACCGATGATAACGAGAGCTACGGGTTTTAGTGAATTATGTTATGCTCTTTTCATAGAAACACGACTTTTTTTCATTAGCACCTAACATTTTTGTTTTGTTTTTATAACAATAGCTGAATAAGTCCAAAGTCCCAAGGGTCCAAACCAAGGTTCAAATCTTGAGACCCTTTTACCATCTAATTAGTTTAGCTTTTTTTTGTTTTAATATGTGTTTAAAATGTCTATTTAGTGAGTGTACGTGTTATTGCTTCTATGTATACTGCGTAGAGTTTTCTTTTGGAGCTGCCAGTTTGGAAACAGCTCTTTTGAGTCAAATAATAATTATACAATGGCAAGCAAAAAGATTTATATGAAAAATTGGACGACATCATAACAAGCGCTGAACAAAACGTTATCATTGGAGGTGACTTGAACGTCACTTTTGATTCAAGTCTGGACTGTTTGGGTGGTTCACCAGCAAAAAAAGAATCGGTTAAGACTCTTGAAGAAATCTGTTTGGATCTGGATTTGATCGATATCTGGAGAGTAAGAAATCCGAAAGAGAGGCTGTTTACTTGGAAGTAAACCAAACCTTTGATCCAAAGAAGAGTAGATTTTTGGCTGATTAGGGACACCTGCCAAGACGAAGTCGAAGAAGTTAAAATTATACCTTCTATAAAGTCAGATCATTTAGCAATTGCATTAATTTTTAATGGCATAGAAGGACAAAAGCATGGTCCATCTCACTGGAAATTCAACTCTAGTTTGACTAAGGATGATGAGTATGTAAAACTTATTAGTGAAAGTGTACTCGTTTGGATTGAGGAATTTAAAGAGGTCAATGACAAAAGAGTGCTCTGGGATCTTATAAAATATAGAATCCGACAGGTTTCTATAAAATATAGTAAAGGGAAAGCACGACTAAGAAAAGACAAATTGCTAGAAATAGAAACACTTCTTAAAGTGTACCAGGAAAAGTGCTCTACTGATCCGTCAGCAGAAAATATTGAGCAGCTTGAAATTCTTCAAAGTAAGTACGATGCGCATTTCGATTACCTTTCGAAAGGAGCTATTATTCGTTCGAGAGCGTCCTGGTACGAGAAGGGTGAAAAAAATAATA